CACATAAGTAATTAAAATTTATTGAAGACTGATCAGAGAAAATACCTTATCAGAGAGGACCATTTTAAGAATTTATTCTTTATTTTATTTATTTATCTGACTTTTATAAGATTTTGCTCGGTTTATTGTTGTTTTTTAATTGGTGAAATTTATACCAAATAGGACTAAAACATAATGACTCTCCTAATCTAGGACTTAAATGTTTTTATTTCCTAAATAGGACTTATTAATGTTTTAGTGGGAGGAATAATGTCCAGTAATGATGGACATTTACTTGAATAATGACTAACTCATAATGACCAAAAGTCCTACATTAAGAAATAAAAACATATGCTCCTATATTAGAAAAGTCATTATGTTTTAGTCTTATTTAAGTAAATTACTCTTTTAATTGTTGTTACTCGCTCAGGGTCTCCGCTCTTGAAATAAAACCTTAGCTTGTTCAATATTCATTATTCATTGGATATAATTATACAAAAATGTTAGGGGGACCTCAAGCATTTGACACTAAATGCACACTAAGGCTAATACGACACACATAGACATTTAATGTTTATGTGTGCACTGACATTAACTATTGGACTTGGTGTGCATTTAGTATCAAAATCTTGGGGTCCCCCTTGCACTTACCTGTGGCCATTTAGAAAAAATGAGACTGATCCGTGTGGATTACGCCATCACGTCATCCTACTCAGCGCCATTCAACACCATGTCAGTTTCTCTTTTTCCGATCTCACGAAAAGGGAGTGGATCGCGCCCAATTTTTTGTAAATTTTTTAAAATATAAAAAAATACTCATTCGTTTGGTCTGAGGTTCAGACACAACACCTCCAGATTTTTTAAAAACAAAGTGAAATGACAAAAAAATATACCTCATTCGTCCCAAATTTTTGTTCTAGTTACTTTTTGGGATTGTCAATAAAGGAAATACTCAAAATAGAAATAAAACATAACTCTTATCTTCAAAGTAGAAGTGACATGTTTTTATCCACAAAATACGAATATTGTAATGTAATAATGTGACAGTGCATGTATATATTGTAGCCTTTGTCTCTTATTAAAACAATTGAAGGTTCATGGTGGAAAACATGAGCTTCAATTCACCGTTGGCCTGAATGGTGTAAAACGCACTTTTCAAGATTTATGAGAATGTTCATCCAGATTTGAGTTTCCATAAGTATGGACACATAAAGTACTGTATGTTTTGTAATCGAGTTAATAGGTAGCACTAAAAAATAACTATAGCAAAAAAATATGGACTATGCTAGGGTGCCACCACATGGGTGCTACCATGGGTGCACCCATGCTTCGCACAGACAAACACAGACGATAATTATCTGTGCGACACAGACAATTATCGTCTGTGTTTGTCTGTGCGAAGCATGGATGCACTCATAGTAGCACCCATGTGGTGATACCCTAGCATTTGTAGCAAAAATTATAACATAATTGAGATTTGGTGTGTAAAAGATGGTGTGACATTTTATTTTTTGTTACTTGGGTGGAATAAAATATAAACTAACATTGAGTTGATATAAGCATTAAAAAAATAGTGGGGTCAATTGATCCCTCAAAAACAATGTAGCTACGCTCATGATTCGATCTTGTGGCATTTTCTTAGGGAAAGGAGACCAAATATGGTGGCAATCTAATAAGTGAAGATTTTATGCATAGCAAAGTTTTACAAACTTGAGATACAATAATGCTCTCAATATGGATAGCAATGCAGCAGACAGGTGCCATAATGGTGTTAAGTTTAGGTATAATAATGATAGTAATAATAATATTAATCTCAATATTAATATTAATATTAATATTAAAATATTAATATTAATATTAAAATATTAATATTAATATTAATATTAATATTAATATTAATATTAATATTAATATTAATATTAATATTAATATTAATATTAATATTAATAACAATAACAATAACAATAAAAGTAGTAACAAATTTTGACTCCAAAGTCAAAATCTACTTGTAAAGTGCAATTGAAGACGGTGGAGGGGTTTACCGGGGGTTAGGGGAGGACGGGAGGTAGAAACCGTCAATTTTACGAAGGGGCACGGGAGCTCCCTTGGGTCATCACATGACTTGAGTTTCCAATGTCACGAGAACCTCACCGATAAAATAAATCCCAATTATTTCTCTCTATCTTTAATGGGTTTCTATCATATACTTTTTCTATTTTTACTAAGCAATTCCTATTTTTAGCATTTATCTAAATTACGTGAAATCAATCTATCAAATTCATTGTACGTGGTAGGAAAGGATTAAATAAATCAATCTACTTAAAAAACATTCATATATTTTTATCCTTAGTGTAACCATTGTGAAACATGTTTTAATCCTAATTAAATATTTCTTCCAAATAAATATTGACTACATCAAAAAATAAAGTTGAGTAAATAAATAAATATTGTTAGCAAATATGGATGTTGTGGCAGGCATGATTTTTAAGTTGTTGAAATTGTTGGGGGGATATAACACAATATTCGCCGTATCTTTTTATGAAATTGGTGGTTAGAGTATCCATAATACTCCCTCCGTCTCAGTATATTTATTCAGTTTGACTTTTTTCAAGTAAAATTAGATAAATTTTGAGTTTCATTTAAACAAAAATTGTAATGTATTTTAGTATATGAATGACTTTATTAGATTATCGTATTAAGAATTTTCAAAATTGTATTTTGTTATACCAATATGCAATACACACTGAGAGTAATTTGAGCTCAAAATTTGTCCAGTTTGACTTGAAAAAGTTAAACTGGACAAAATTGAGCATTCTTTTTTTTTAAAAAAATGAACATTAATTTTAGAACAACATATAAAAACAAGAATATGAAAAAAAAATTAGTTTAAAAACAAATTAAATGGAGTAAACAATTTACTTAATTTTCTCAATGAGGTTGGTGGAAATTAGTGTCTCATCTGATTTTAACTGTGAAAAATCAGTTCATGTCCATTCTCGTTTTAGGATCAGAAGAGTGTTGCATTTATTTTAGATTATGAAAATTTTGATGGCTAATTGAGCCCCTGGGCAAAACACTGGCCTCTGTCAAATTTTTTAACCAATATATAGTGTAAAAAAATAAAAATTTCTAGTAAATTAAGGGTGTGCTCCCGGTAAAAAAAATTGTCCAGAAGAAAAAAAATAATTATTTAAATACTCCACAGAATATAAATGTAAAGTATTTGAAATATCATACTCCCTCCGTCCCCCTGTATTTGTCCACTTTCATTTTTGTACACCATCCAATGCACTTCTTTAATTCATTTTATCTTGTAATTTGTATATTAAAAAATTATAAAAATTATATATTAATAATCTATATGTTAAGACAAATCAAACAAGATCACACATGACTATATTTAGGCTTACACATTGAGAGAATTTGATGAGTCAAAGCGCTTAGATGAACAGTTTCAAAAGTCAAATGTGGACAAATACATGGGGACGGAGGGAGTATTATATTAAGCTGTGATATACTTCATATTACATTTTTCTACTTTTAAAATATTTTGTTTTACTTTTTTGAATACTTGTTTGATATAAAAGTCACTTATTTTTTCATAATTATAAATCACCTTTAAAAAAATTTGGGGGCGCTACCCTCGAACCCCGCCCTACTCTTTACTATAATGGTGCCCTAGTAATATATATTCCTAGATCCGCCACGAATTCTGCTTCTCAAAATCTAGTAATCAAGCACTTGATTCTTCAAAATCATTTAATCCAGAAATAACCAAAAGTGGTACTCCGTAAAAAGTAGAATTAAAGCTCAATTAACCCTAAGTGGTTAAGGACTTGTTCTCTACACTTAGGGGCTGTTTGTTTCAGCCTCTTAATGGTTCAGATGTCTGAATGGTTCAGTACTTAATGGTTCAGACTGTTTGTTTCAGCCTCTTAATGGTTCAGATGTCTGAATGGTTAAGAGATTTGCCTCTGAATGGTTAAGTATTATACAGAGTCTGAATGGTTAAGACCTCTTATCTGAATTGATCGGACATTTGTATCTGAATAGTTAAGCAATATACTAGCTCTTAATGGTTAAGACCTCTTACTGGTTCAGCACTTAATGGTTCAGACCTCTTACTGGTTCAGCACTTACATATTCAGAAGTTGCCAAACAACCCCCCCTTAGTCTGAACTAGTATCACATTCGTGCATTGCACGGGTCATATTTACGTTACTAAATTAAGATCATTTTTGAGCGACAGAAAATGATATCTAATAGAATATAGAGATTTTATTATTTTAAGGTACATGTTTTTTCCTTACAAATTTCAAAAGACTTCTGTACAAACTACATTATTCGTACAATTTGTGAGAACATTGTCTTCGTTGCATATATTCAGAATCTTCAAGCCACTATGATTTACTCCCTCCGTCCCAAAATAAAGTTCCTCTTTCGTTTTTTCTTTTCTCTAAATAAACTTCTCTTTTCCCTTAAAAAACCCCTTTTACCTCTTACTTTTTCATACCCTACCTATCACATCATACCTTTTTACTAATAATCTACCTATCACATCTTACTTTAACACATCACATCAAGAGTATTTTTGGAAAGTCAACACCAAAATATCCCTCCTTTAAATCTTCAAAAAGTCAAAAATGGAACTTTATTTAGGGATAACATACAGTTTCTTTATAACTTACCTTTATTATTAATTATAAACTTTTTTGACACAATGCCCGAGACATTGGGACAATAAAAATGCACAAAAGATTGAAGAAAGAAACACTTTGGGACATGCAATGGGATGCAACCATTCTCCTACCTTCCGTACAAGATTAGCTTAGCTGTTCTTTGACATGATTTGATTACTAGTAGTTTTTAAGGTATAGCATCACCATCTTTTCTGCTTAATGGATTTTTAAAAGATTTTAATTTTTCAAAAAAAAAAAAAAAGAAATATTAAAAGTGGTATCTATAATCAATTAATAAAATTAATTAATTAATTGCAATTTGTTGAAGAGATTATGATCAACAGAAGTGGTGTGGGCCCCTGGCTGCTGAAATGATTTATTATCCATTCCTCTTCTGGTAGTTTGAAGTGATGCACCTAAAATGGCACATGCATGGTTTCATCAGTGCATGACATAGATTATTAGTTTCATTTCAACGGCTAATTATAATTATTATATTCATAATTATAATTATAATTATAATTAGTAACATTTTTCTTAGAGAGAACGACAGATTAACCAAAAAATTAATGAGACTATGGGTCCCTTGTCCTCGAACCATTTCATGACTGCTTTGTTATGATAACTGTTGAGAAATTTTAAAATTTTAAGCATATCCGATCGACTTCGTATAAAATATACTTTCCTCAGTCCCTAAATAAACTTCCCTTATTGACTTTTTGGAAAATTAAGGGAGGGATATTTTGGTGTTGACTTTCCAAAAATACCCTTGATGTGATGGATAAAAGTAAGATGTGATAGGTAGATTATTAGTAAAAAGGTATGATGTGATAGGTAGGGTATGAAAAAGTAAGGGGTAAAAGTGATTTTTTAAGGGAAAAGAGAAGTTTTTTTGGGGACAAAGAAAAAACGAAAGGAGAAGTTTATTTAGGGACGGAGGGAGTAGTAAAATAAGGGAAATTGTGACATTTTAAATCTTAAAAAAGTAATGAGGTCTTTCGTAGATATATAAAAACGGCGTTTGAGAATATCTATAGTGGACAAGAGAGCGTAGTAAGGCTGCATTCCATTCCCCTAATCTGATCTAGTCTGGTTTGATCTAATTGCAATTATAATTAAAGTTATTTCTGATCTGACTTAATCTGGACTGGTCTGGTATGATTATAATAAAAATAAGTAATAAACAGAAAAAATAAGTTGAATTGCCTAACCAAATCACATATAGAAACTAAAATTTTTACTTTTGGAAACATGCAAAGTTACATTCATAAGAGTCCAAAAAATAAAAATAAAAAAAAATAAAGCAAAGATTGAGAAGGATTCACTACAGTCTGAGAGGATATGGGAAGTAGAAATAGGAAGACACCAACGCTGTACTATTTGTACACAATTGGACTGTATAAATCATTCCGCGATCGACTTGACTTGAATAAATACAAAATAAAAAAAATTACCTTAAATACTCCTTCCGTTTTCAAAAACTCTTCCTTTTTCATTTTTTTTACTTCCAACAAAACACTTTCACTTTCTTTTAAAAAACCACTTTTACCCTTACTTTTTCATACCCTACCTATCACATCATACTTTTTCTCTAATACTCAATCTATCACATCTTACTTTTACCCATCACATCAAGGGCAAAATTGGAAGTCAACTACAATTTAACACTTCCTTATTTTTACACAAAGTCAAAATATGAACACTTTTAAAAAACGGAGGGAGTATAATCAAATCGCATCAGACTTGAATAAAACTAGATCAGACATAAAGAACAAACTCTAAGTTCTAGATATCTAGTTCGTCTCTTAATTAAAACTCGCGGGTCAGATCAACCGGACCCGGGAGTTAAGTCGAAACTCGTTGGAGTTTGTTTCATAAATAAAACTCGCGGGTCGGAATAACCGGACCCGCAAACTCACTGGAGTAGGGACAAAGAAGCACTTCCATAATATATATTTAAGAACTACATCAAACATGCTACAAAACAAGAGACACCAATGCATTCTATTTTATCAAATGATCGATAAAAAAGTGCAAGAAAAGAAATGATTTAGCCATGTAAAAAGTAACTAAAAGAATTTCTTTTTGTGGAACAAAAAAGAGTACAAAGAAGCATGTCATTACTTTTCCAGACCTAAATCATTGCCCACTTTGAATAAACACAAGATTTTTTTGGGAAAATGATACTCCATAATTGTGTAGTTATAATTTATTCATAAGATGCAAAAAATATTATAAGTCACATATTGTTTTTTCTTTAAAAGAAAACCGGTGAGACTTTTGGGACGAACAAAAAAAATATTATAGGAAAATAATTTAGGGACGGAGAGAGTAACAGTGGAATCAGGATGTTTGGTGACTGTATCTTGGGGACAGTTGGCAAACTTTCACTTAAAGATGAAAAAAAGGAAGGTTTTAGCTTAGCCTTAAATACCAACAAGTTGAATGTGACACAGCATAAAGAAAGAGGCCAATCCCACTACTATATTAATGAATGTGTTTGCTTTTTTTCTTTCTCTGCCATAATAAGCATGATTAAAACATGAGACCTTTCAAGGCTTTAGCTACATGTCTACATCATGCAAAACTTCACTCATAAAAAAACCTTGAAATGGTTTGGCTATAACAAAAGTTTATTGTATTTACTAAATATAGTTTTCTATAAAGATTAATCTTTCTAAAAGGACACGTATGGTATTAGCAAAACAAACATACCCGATATCCACGGGTTTCGGGTGAGATCCAAAGTTGTGCCGCTCCTTGCCCTTCTACCGGAAGAACCGAATAAAGGTATTACCTATTTGAATGTGCAACAAGGATTCATCAACAAGCTAAAAAGAGACAGCATCAAATTTCTGCTTTTTACTCCGGTAAATTCGGGATACTGGGATTAAGCCAATAAAAATGTGGAGGGAAGTTGAAGTTGAGGATGCAGTAAAAAAATGAGAATATTGATGATCTGATTCATCACGTGAAGGTAAAAAACAGTACCATAGCTACCACATATTTTGGGTAAATAATATTTGAGGGTGACCATCTAAGATTTGCTCTGATATTTTCTGCTAAGGAACAAAGTCAACAAAATATATCCAAGACAGTTGGGAAAGGGCAGCAGCTTTCGTTTTTCATCTAGGATAAGTACTTACTGAGTTACTGTGATTATGAGGTAGTACTACTAGCAGCCTTTTACAGTACATGCCTAACAGTAAATTAATACCCCACACCCTCACTCCCCTATAAAACTCCTTCACTTGCTATTCAATTGACCATCTTTCTCTCTCTCTCTCTCTCTCTCTCTCTCTCTCTCTCTCTCTCTCTATTTCTCTCTATCTATCTTTGCCTGTGGGTGATTGCCTTGCAAGTTGCAAGGGTCTTTTTTGGGAGTGTTTATTGCATGGATGTAAAGAAGTTGCATGTGTAAAAAAGCGCGCACACAACCAACTTTTTAATCTCTTCATATATATATGTGTGTGTGTGCTGAAAGCACATACAAAATAGAAAGAGTAAAACCCCAAGAAGCAGGATAAAGAAAAGATGGCAGCCAAGCAGATCCAACAAGTGCACTCCACAACACCACAGGTATAAACATGTATGTTCTTAAATATTACTGCAAGAAATGAAAAATGAAAGATCACATTTTTTTTACTGACCTTAATAATAACAATAATAACTGTGCAGTTGGGAGAAGAACTGAGGAAGATGATAGACACAGGTTTTCCAATGCTGGCAATGGGATTGATAAGTTACCTGAAAAACATGATACTAGTAATGTGCATGGGAAGGTTAGGGAGTTTGGAGCTGGCAGGTGGTGCTCTGGCCATTGGCTTCACTAATATCACTGGCTACTCACTCTTGTCTGGTCTAGCCTTGGGAATGGAACCACTCTCTAGCCAGGCTTTTGGCTCAAAGAACTTCAACATGCTTTCCCTAACCCTACAAAGAACAATTGCCATGCTGCTCGTTGTGTCTGTACCCATTTCCATCTTATGGTTCAATTTGGAACCTCTCATGCTATGGCTCCACCAAGATCCAATGATTATACACACCGCAGCCGTTTTTTGCCAGTTTGCAATGCCTGACCTTGTTGCGAATAGCTTCCTTCACCCATTGCGCATCTACTTACGCTGCAAGGGAACAACGTGGCCACTCCTATGGAGCACTTTACTCGCTACCCTCTTCCATATCCCGGTTGTATTTTACTTGACTTTCACCCTTCGTCTTGGGATACAAGGAATTGCAATTTCTACTTATGTTGCTAATTTCATTAACGTCCTCTTCCTTTTAGCCTACACTTTTTATACCAAGGAACAGAATGAGTCAACACTGTACAAACCACTAGCCACCACAAATCTGAAACCTTCTGCTTCACTAGGAGAGGAATGGATGATCCTACTTCGGCTTGCTATACCGAGTTGTCTGGCCGTTTGTCTAGAGTGGTGGTGGTATGAATTCATGATCCTTTTAGCGGGTTACCTTGATAAACCTCAGGTAACACTTGCAACAGCGGCGATTGTGATACAAACAACATCTCTGATGTACACATTGCCTTCGGCACTTAGCAGCTCGATTTCAAGCAGGGTTGGGAATGAACTTGGAGCAGGAAGGCCAGGGAAGGCGAGATTGGCAACAGATATAGCCATTGTTATGGCCTTTCTGGCATCAACGTTTGGAATCTTACTGACCACTTTAGGGAGAGAGGTTTGGGTCAAGATATTCACAACAGATAGTGAAGTTCTTGAGCTGACAATGACAGTTCTACCCATCATTGGACTGTGTGAACTGGCGAACTGCCCACAAACTACGTGTTGTGGGGTCCTTCGAGGGAGTGCCAGGCCTAATATCGGTGCCTTCATCAACTTCTACTCTTTCTACGTGATGGGTGCACCATTGGCCATCATTTTTGCCTTTGTTTTGAGGCTTGGGTTTAAGGGTCTTTGTTATGGTCTGTTGGCAGCAGAGTTGGCATGTGTGGTTTCAATGTTAGTAGTGATTTACAGAACAGATTGGGAAAAAGAGTGGGCAAAATCGAAAGACTTGGTGAGGGCAAATGGAGAAGCTTCTTATGAAGATCTGATCATAAAATACAAGGGAGAAGAGTTTAGGTTTTGTATTGAAGATGGAGTAGATTTAGAAAAGTAAGACCGGGATACCTGAAAAAGGAACAAAAAGATTAAATTTTGTAATGTCAATGTTTAGGCTATAATGTATGTTAATATGTTTCCATATACATAACCTTTCTGTTCTCCAAATGAAAAGAATAAAATTACTACATGAATAAAAGATTTGTACATGAATGCAAGGGTACTCACAATTATAAGCATGTTTTATTGAGAACGATGCTTGTGGGAGGGGCGAGAGGAGGGCGGGAGGTTAGATTTTATACTAAAGAGCAGAAGATTAAAAAAAACATCAATGGTGTACGAAAACACAATGTTATTAGGAAAAAACATTAGAACAAATCTGTGAATTATATTTACTGCTAATCCCAGAACTCGTATTTTGTTTATAACTAGTAAAAACTAATAACTCGATCATTTTTTGTTCTATGACGTGTAAATATCTGAATTCTCAACTCATTGTTATTATGACATGAAAATCGACTATTTTCCAAGCAAGTGAATAAAACCTATTTTCCAAGCCAGCGAGTTAAACCTATTATCTGAGCAAGACTTGTTATACACTTGAGAATATCACTTACACAAAAAGTTATTTTCTGAAAGTTTACCAGTAAGTATGGAAAACATATTTTCTTTGAGAAAACCCTTTCCACTGTAACAAACACTGCATATGTTTGTTCTGCATGAATTTATAGTGTCAAGTGTCAACTAAATCCTTGACAATTAATTAACACTATATGTTTCGTGCCACCAACACCGACATATCTGGGAATCGGGAGTAGAAGTATGAACTAAAAATAAGGCTGATTCTTCATTACCTGAAATGGAAGCACATAGAAGAAGGTCAATTGCTATGATATCTTTTTAAGACGTCAAAATTGCTCATCGGTTTACATTTGGCCTATCATTTACTCAAAACTGCAAGCACAAAATCACTCATAGGTTTAGTTGTCCGATTTTCCTTTTTAAGGTGTCCGGGATTCATTTCCCACGCCACATTTTACCCCCACTCTTTAAATTTGAGGTCTTTGGAGAAAGTTAACAACTAAATCCACACGAAAGATATGAACATATCAATATTTCTATCTCTTCTTTCCTTAAACTTATTTTCATTTCAATATTCATCATGTTCACATTTCACATATATATATAGAATAATAACAAAATTTGCTTTGCAGTAACCAAGATGAAAGTAGACTCTCCAATAACCATTGCTAAACTATCACTGAGTTAAGAAAAAAGGTTGCATTTCAATGGAATAAACACAGATTTTGCCTCCTAAACAACACACACACACACACACACACATATATGTATGTATGTTTTGGATCCAATGAGAATGCGATCTAATGAAAGGAATAAAAATACATCTCGTGCATTAGATGTAAAATCTAAGGTCTTGAAAAATTCAAAAAAACTGAAAAAAATCTAAAAGAACACAGTGACATTATGGTAAATAAGTTGAAATTTACCCTCAGTGCCAAAATGTACTACCACAATGTAAAAAAGCATCGTGACGGAATAAAAATGCACCATTCTAATTTCTCGCAGTAAGGACCATTCTCACCTGAACCGCAACCTCTATATATATATATATATATATATATATATATATATATATATATATATATATATATATATATATATATATATATACACACACATATATATATCTGTGTGTGTGTGAAAAATGCTGATTGCAATAGATATCAGTAAAATGTGAAATTAATACATTTCAATGTAATAAAAACAAAAACAAAAACAAAAAGCCGATTCAGTCTGTTACTAAATGAAAAATATATATAGAATCCCGAAATCGAAAATAGAAAATAGAGCAAAAATTTACCGGAAACGTGAAAAATGGATCTGTAGAGTGGAATTTCATTAAACATAACTTCTTTCTACTGGATGATTGAAGCAACATATTTAGTTTTTTTTTTTTTTTGGTTTCAGAAGATATGGAAGAAAGGAAGAAATATCGAACAGGAAGGACTGGGCCGAAGTGAAAACTTCAGAGTTGGGCCGAGCCTTACGTCATTCAAGTGGGCTTACTAACTAAAAAAATAAAAATTGGACTAAATCTTACTCCGTGCTCCCATTAGGGGTGTGCAAAATTCGGGCCCAGCCGGTGGAAAACCAATTCTGGGCTAGACCTGTAAATTTCAGAATTATTTTCGGTCTTAAGATTGAGCATCGGTATAATTTTGCTTCATTCCGGTCCACAATCGAATTGCGTCTAGGTCAGACCGGTAAAATCGAGATATAGTTATAATATTCTTTTTTTTCATTTTTACTTTTTTAGTATGTGTGATTATAAATACAAGTTTGTATTTTCATTTTTGTTCTTACATAATTTAGTCTTTTAAATATGAAAAGTTTTATATTATTCATTTTCAATACTTTACTTAATAAAACGTTGGCATTTAATTAAGAAAATCCATGAAAATAAAATTATATAAAAATTGAATTGTAATGTTCACAACTTTGATATTCAGATACTTTGAAATATAACTTACTCTTGATAAAATAAAGACATTTTAAATTTCTCACTTATCTTGAGCGGTAAGAAGCCCACTCCTTACAATTCATAGTGTTCACTCAGATTCGAGTTTTAGTGAAGGCGGAGACATTAGCTCATTGTAAAACATTAGATTGAGAAAGATACTCCGGGCAGTAGCGGCTAGCTACTAGGTCGTGTTTATGCCTCTTAAAGTGATTTGCCTTTTGATAAGAGATTTATTAATGGATGTGGTGGTTCCCGAAAAGAAAGTGTTCGCACTTCAAAGTACGGAGTACTTGTTAGGTATTTTCTTCCCCCAACTTATTTCTATTTAATTTATGGGCAATGCTAGGGGTATACCAACATGGGGTACGCTAAGTGTACATCAAGCCAACACAAACACACACAGATACAAAATGTCTGTACAACACAGACACTTTGTGTCTGTGTGTGTCTGTGTTGGCTTGGTGTACACTTGGCGTACCCCATGTTGGTGTACCCCTAGCTTAATTCTTAATTTATTTACTCCGTAAAAAAGAAAGTAAAATTAGAACAT